CAGAATTTGGCGGCGCATCTTAGCGACCCTCAGCGTTGAGTGAGAGAAACATGAGGTTTTACTTCACGTGCATCTCCTAATCTTGATACCCTTGTTAAAATGCCAATTTCCTGGTGGTATTGACAATTGTTTTGCAACGCATTTTTCCAAAATTCGATCGCTTTTCTAGGCTTCCACGGCTTGATCTAATTTCACCTAGATCAGCAACGAATCTCAGTCTCATCCACCTAAACTTTTCCCAGTGAGGTGAGAGGCCGCATAAGAAACAGCGACTTTTGCTTCGGTTCAAAGCAGCACCACTTACGCCACGAAGGATCTGCATTGAAGACAGATTCGAACTTGTCATTGTCACACAAATCAAAATGGGAAAATTCGTCCCAAGGCAACGAAAGCACAAGGTGCTCGCCCGCGAGAGGGCCAAGGAGAACGGCATCATCCCCCAGGACTCGAATGCGGATGAGATTCTCCCCGAAGACCAGAAGCGTCTCCAGGAAAAGAGAGCGCAGCTCAAGGCCGAATTGCAAGGAGACGGTGCCAAGGCCAGCGGCAAGAAGGCGAAGCGGTTGGAAAAGTACATCACCAATAAGCTTCGCAAAGATGAGAATCGCGAAATCCTCGCCAAGCTCGCGCAGCAAAAGGTCGACACGAGCTTGTTCACGAGCACCAAGACTCTCGGCCAGGGCAAGGAGTCCAAACGCCAGGCTTTGACGAGGGCGTTGCGGGAGAAGAACGCCGGGTTGGCAGTCGACGCGGATGCCGAGGAGCTGCTTTATGAGGAGAGAGAGGAGGCCCCCGAGGTGGATTCTGACGACAGCGTAGATGACACTTCAAAGGCACCCAAGCCGAAAGCTTCTAAGGCTGTAGTCAAGGCACCTGTGCCGGTATCAGCAGCGAAAGCGAAATCAACACCAGTACCGCCTCCACAAGTACCAGCACCTGAACCGACAACTACACCCGCACCTGCATTAAAGCCGGAACCGCAACTCGCCGCATCTGTAGGCTCTGGTCTGAAGCGTCCATTAGATGTCGATGATTCAGGACGACCAGTGCTTCAGAAGCGTCAAAAGAGAGGCGGCGTGACCTCCAAATTCTCCATCGCTGAACCGGAGAAAGCGAAGGATGCAGAGGACGAATGGAATGGTTTGAGCGATGACGCAGAGAACAATTCAAGCGATGAGGATGACGATTCAGCCGAGGAGTCTGAAGAATCAAGCGAAGGATCCGAAGAGTCTGAGGAAGACGACGAAGATGAAGACGAAAGCGAGGACGATGAAGAAGAGTCTACCAGCACAAGGCAGTCTGCCTTCAAGGCTTGGGCTCTTGCGCAAAGAAACGAAGCCCTTGGTTTTGAAGGAACAACAGAGGCCTCCACAGCACTGGAAATTCCTAGGCCAGAGAATTTTGAGCCACGCCCGCTTGAGCAGGAACCACTACCTCAGGAACTACAGCCGACAACAAACCTTGCACGCAAGGCATACGCCGTTGCTGTGACGAGAACGCCAGATATCCAGGAAGTCCGCATGAAACTTCCGGTGGTCGCTGAGGAACAGAAGATTATGGAGATGATTCACAATAACGACATTGTCGTCGTATGCGGTTCTACAGGTTCCGGTAAGACAACTCAGGTGCCGCAATTCTTGTACGAGGCTGGGTACGGTTCTCCTGGCTCTGCTACTCCGGGCATGATTGGCGTCACGCAACCCCGACGAGTTGCTGCCGTGAGCATGTCAAAACGTGTTGCGCAAGAACTAGGCGACCACTCGGACAGAGTGGGATACCAGATCCGATTCGAGGGTACAGCTTCGGCCAAGACGGCCATCAAGTTTATGACGGATGGTGTGTTGCTGCGAGAGATGGGGCAAGACTTCTCTCTGAAGAAATACTCGGCAATCATTATCGACGAAGCCCACGAAAGAAGTGTCAACACAGATATCCTCATTGGAATGCTGAGTCGTATCAATAATATTCGCAAGGGCGACGACAAGGCCGATCCTTCGATTAAGCCACTCAAGATCATCATCATGTCCGCGACGCTAAGAGTCGAAGACATGACTAACAATACCACACTATTCCCCACCCCGCCTCCTGTGGTTGAAGTCGAAGGACGGCAGCATCCCGTCACGATTCACTTTGCAAGGCGGACACAGTCCGACTTCGTCGAGGAGGCCTTTAACAAGATTATGCGTGGTCACCGGAAGCTACCGCCAGGAGGCTTTTTGGTGTTCCTTACCGGCCAAAACGAGATTAGGTATCTGAGCAAGCGCCTGAGGGAAGCATTTGGTGGCTTCACAGAAGCCAGCGCACCCAAGGTCCAGATCTCAGCCACCGATGCGCCTATGGAAGTCGAAGATATCGACTTTGGCGAGGTTGACGATGCCATCGGTGCCGACATCGATGACGGCCTCGATGAGGATGAGGACATGGAGCACGAGGACGACAAGGAGTTCGAAATTGAAGGAGAGGAGGGAGAAACGGGGCCCATGAAGATGCAAGTCTTACCCCTTTACTCTCTCCTGCCAACTAAGGAGCAGATGAGGGTATTTGAGGATCCTCCCGAAAACCACCGTCAGGTCATCCTGGCAACCAACGTTGCGGAAACCAGTTTGACGATTCCGGGCATCCGTTACGTCTTTGACTGTGGCCGGTCCAAAGAACGCCAATACGATCGCTTCAGCGGAGTGCAAACCTACGAAATCGGTTGGATCAGCAAGGCCAGTGCCAGTCAGCGCGCTGGTCGTGCCGGTCGTACGGGGCCCGGTCACTGCTACAGACTCTACTCCTCGGCCGTCTACGAGAGAGACCTGCCCGAGTTCACGGACCCCGAGATCCTGCGGATGCCCGTCGACGGCGTCGTGCTCCAGCTCAAGGCGATGAACCTCTCCAACGTCGTCAACTTCCCCTTCCCGACGCCGCCGAACCGTATGGGTCTCCGCCAGGCCGAGAAGCTGCTCACCTACCTCTCGGCCATCGCGCCGGAAGGCCAAATCACAAAAATCGGATCGACAATGTCCATCTTCCCGCTCTCGCCCCGCTTCGCCCGCATCCTCCTTGTCGGCCACCAGCACGACTGCCTGCCGTATACCATCATGATGGTGGCGGCGCTCTCGGCCGCTGAGGTCTTTGTCCCGGAACACCAGGCAATACCCTCTCTTGAGGCGCGTGACGAGTCTGAGTTCCGCCGCACCGCCGACATCATCGCCGAGGATCGCCAGGCCAACATCAGGCGCCTCTTCAACGCCGCGCACAAGAACTTCTGCTACCTGGACGACAGGTCCGACGCCATCAAGCTCCTCCAGGTCGTCGGCGAGTACGCCCATGACCCGACGGAGAAGTGGTGCGAGGATCACTTCGTCCGGTACAAGGTCATGAAGGAGGTGACGCAGCTGCGCCAGCAAATCACCGAGCTCCTCCGCGCCAACATCCCCGCCTTCAAGAACCTCAAATACCAGGACCGGCTCGACGCTCCCTCGGACAAGCAGGTTGCCTACCTCAAGCAGATGGTGGCCGCCGGCTTCATCGACCACGTCGCCCTCCGCGCCGACAAGGCCCCCGTGCCGCCCGAGGTGACGCGCAAGCCCGGCCGCGCCATCGACGTGCCCTACATCCCGCTCTCACCGCTCGGCGTCGGCCACGGCGCGGAGAAGTACATCTACATCCACCCGACGTCGCCGCTCGCCCACCTCAGCCCGGCTGAGTGCCCCGAGTTCGTCGTGTACTCGCAGCTTCAGCGCGCGACGCAGGGCGCAGACGTGAACAAGACGCCCAAGACCAGGATGCTCGCGCTTACGGACGTCACGGGCGGGCAGCTCGCGAGCTTGGCCAAGGGCACGCCGCTCGTGAGCTACGGGAAGCCGGTCAAGGAGATTTCGTCGACGGCGAATACGCGCGAGGTGTGGGTTGTGCCGTACCTCAGGGCCGAAGGGGTCGGTGGTCAGGGGTGGCCGTTGCCGATGAAGAAGGTCCTGCAGCGCAGGGTTGCTGGTAAGGGATGGGTTGTTGAATGAAACGCGGGGGAATCAAAATTTGGTATAAGCATATTTTCAAAAGAATAGAATGTGTCACAAGACATTCACTGTTACTCTGTCATCTCCACCTTGGCGTCGATAATGAATCGTTGATTTACGGTGTTAAAAATTCGGTTTCTCTCAATGAGTCGAAACTACAATACGGGGCCGACTAGAGTCAGTTCTTCCCCCTCTGATTCAGTCCTTCGCCAGTCGTACCGGCAGAGCCGCTTCTACATAAGCGAATCGGGTGAGACGGTACCTTTGGATGGAAACTCCTCCTCGCCCAAATGCCAAACCTCCCAAAACAAGAGTCAAAACCGGCCGGTGATCCAAACAGGTGGCGAGCTGGGCCGGTTGAATCGGTTCATAAACCTGAACCTTCTTTTTCCGACACAGGGGTTCTCTTCGCACTCAGTATGGACCATGCGTTCTCCTCCCTCCTTCTCCGTCTTTCTGTCTTCATCGGCGCGTTCGCGGATGAAAGGGGAAGGGGGGGAAGACAAGTCTGAGATTCAGGCCTCGAGTAATACACGGCACACGCACTCGGACACGGGTGGCCCTAAGGGAACTTCGGACGAAGGAAATTGTGAAGCGGGTAAAGCTGCAGATGCACGCCCGTGGCCGGGCCCGAGCGAGACTTGACTTGTACTGTCGTTTTCCTTCGAGAAGGACGTTTTCCGTTTGTTCTAGTGTCATTTGTCGTCGATTCTATTCGTTCATCGAAGGAATACCAAATTTATAATCTTTCTGAACGAAGCCGAAGTGAAGCCCAAGATAGCAGATTAGGTATAGCCGACTATCGTGACGACGACCAACAAGCTTTACCTGTTGCTGATTCATACGCCAAACTTATTTTTTGTTTACATAGCCGTTTCAATTCGGAATTCACTCTGCTCGAGTGTGGATTAGAGAGCTCTTACGCAATCCCGTACCCGTCACAGGACCGTCGTTACTTACAGAGAGTCCCCCTTCCCTCTTGCGGACCTGGCTCCGATGATATTGCAACAGCAAAGGTCGATCTGGAAGGAAAACGAAGCCCTCATTGACGAATGCATGAGCGCCCTCCGCGAGATTGAGATGAAAATGACACTCTTCTCAGGCGTCGCCGTGGTCACAGGCGCTGCTTCAGGTAAGGTCACACGTCAAAATCTCTGGCTCTTGAACGCCATAACATCCAATTATGAAATCAAGAAATGGATAAGAGGGAGGATGAGATGGAATGTAAGCCTGGGACTGACAGAGTGATCTCAGGCATCGGCCGCCAGGTGGCAATCTCATTCGCCCGTGAGGGCTGCAAGCGCATCGCTCTGCTCGACAGAGATGAGGACGGCGCGCTGGAGACGGCTCGCATGTGCCGGGAGGCCAACGGGGAGACGCGCACTTTTGTCATGGAGATTGACAACCGCAACGACGAGGACATTGCATCGTGCATGGAGAATGTTGTAGAGGAATGGGGCCGGATCGATTATGCAGTTAACTGCGCTGGTGAGTCTATTCAAGATTGTTTTGCGACATCCCTAAGCATATCGGGAAGATTATTGACGGTAACTTGAAGGCATGTTTGGACCAAAGGCACCGTCGCACCTCCTGACGCCCGCCGAGTTTGACGAGATCACCAACATCAACTACCGCGGCACATGGCTATGCTCGCGGGCGGAGCTCACGCATATGATTAAGCAGGAATCCATGAAGACGCACGACGGCAGACCAGGGAACCGGGGGGTCATTGTCAATGTTGCGAGCAATCTCAGCCTGGTTAGCCGGCCAGAGACACGTGAGTCCAAGCCGAGAATGCCTCTTTCTTTTCCATGTGTGAAGGACCACAGCTAACAACAATGATAGCAGCCTACAACGCATCCAAGGCGGCTATCTTAAGTATGACGAGAAGCGATGCCATCGATGTGGGTTTCCTTCTACGACGAGAGACTCCAAGTCTGACAGCTAGTAGTATGCAAAGTATAATATCCGCGTCAACTGCGTGTGTCCAGGGATCATTGAGTAAGTTCTGGGAGAAAACCGGATGAAGGGTGTTGATCATGAGAACTGACCGAGACAATCCAGCACGCCCATGACAAGTGAAGTCTCATCAGATGATCCCATGATCGCAGTAGCGCCAATGAAGCGGAAAGGAACGCCGCAAGAAGTCGCCGATGCCGTCTTATTCCTCTGCAGTTCTAAGGCGTCTTTTATCCACGGCGCCTCGTTGTCCGTCGACGGCGGCTACGTTATCAACTAAGGCCGAGCCTCATTGACTCCCTTGGTGTAGCCTGTTGAATAGTAAGAATGAGGATGAACGAGAGAAATAGATAGATGGGAACAGGAAAATTGCCTATAGAGAAGATTGGCCATGAAGAAGCCAGTTGAAGAGAAGCCTGGCGAACAGATTGAATTCGGAAAATAGACCTCACTATTTCGAGCCCGTCGACAGAAAGTCGCAATGGCAATTTATAAATACAGTCACTTGTGTCGATCAAGAGCGAACTCATGGCGCTCATCTTGCCATTGCTCGGGACTGTGTTGTCTAAGTCCTGGGAGTATCAAAGTCGAAGTAAGGGCAAAATGTAGTGCGCGTAATGTTGCAGTCTTGGCAGAAAATCACTAAAGTCAAAATAACAAAGTCTCCGAAATGTTTTCTTCTTGTTGCGCAACGTTCGGGCGGTGATCTTCTCACGGTATTTATCCTAGTATTAGAATAGAAAGACTAGCGCAATACGACGCCAGTCAAAGTACCCGAAAAGTCTCCATGATCTACACTCTCACTATACTATATGTAAGACGCCTTTCGCTCGCTACATTGGAATAACAATCTAGAGCAGTCCAGATGAAAGTCCAATCCAGAATAACCATCGCTAACAATGACATCTATAACACCAACAATCCTCATCGTCGGCGCAACCGGCCAGACGGGAAGCGCAACAATCGCAGCCCTCGCCTCAACCCCCAACCCGCCCCAAATCCTCGCCCTCACCCGCTCCCCATCCTCTCCCAAATCACAAGCCCTCCTCAAACTCTTCACAGATCGTCAATCATCAGTATCCTCTTCAACAATAACACCAACATCATCACCAATAACCCTCATCCAAGGCACACCCGAAAACCCGACCCCCATCTTCGCCTCCCACCCAGACATATCCGCCCTCTACCTCGTAACCGTCCCACCCGGAGACGAAGCGCAAGCCATACCCCTCATCGACGCCGCAATCGCCCACAAGATACCACACATCGTCTTCTCGAGCGTCGACCGCGGGGGCGACGAGCGCTCGTGGACGAACCCGACGCCCGTGCCGCACTTTGCGGCCAAGCACCGCGTCGAGGTCTACCTCCGCGACAAGACACGCGGCACGCAGACCAGGTGGACGATCTTGAGGCCGGCCGGGTTCATGGATAATTACCGTGCTGAGGCGGGGGTTATGGGCTCCGTCATGGGCGGGCTGTGGGCGACGATGCCGGCGGGTGGGAGGAAGATGCAGCTTGTTAGCGCGAGGGATATCGGGCTCTTTGCGGCTCGGGCGCTGATAGAAGGTCCTGGTACTGAGGATGAAGGAGGAGGATGGGGTGGTAGGGCGCTGGGGCTCGCTGGTGATGAGATCGGTTTCGACGAGGCGGAGGAGGTATTTGAGAGGGTTGTGGGGCAGAGGATGCCGAGGACGTGGGGGGTTGTCGGTCGGGGCGTGAGGTGGGCCTTTGAGGATGCCGGGAGGAGTATGGAGTGGTTTGAGGAGGAAGGGTATAAGGCTGATGTTGCGATGTTGAGGGGCATGGAGCCGAGGTTGCAGACCTGGGAGACGTGGTTGAGGGAGAGTAGTGGGTGGGTGAAGGATGATGAGGAGTGAAAGGGGGGTTCAGAGAGGCTCAATGGAGTTCAGCGATGATGTTTGATACCATTTTCTAGGGGTCTAAAGAGCGCCGAAGACTATAGATTTCCATATATGTCAGATCTCTGCTTGAATTGTACATGATCCTTAAGTAAACATGAGGGACGGGCTGAAAAGGGATGCCTGTTCTAGCTATAGCTCTGTACGTCGCCTCTTTCCTAATCACAGGTCATGGTAGGTTCTGAGATGGAAAGTGTACGCGAGCCCAATCCACTGCGAGGGACGCCTCGGAATACCTGCAGGATACCCGCGAGGCTCTATAGCCGATGAATCATCGCCAGCTCCCAACAACAAGTACCTGGGCCGTATGGTCGAGGGGTTCATCGGGCTGCAGAGGCCCCGGTTAGACAGTGAAGACTCCTGTCTATTTCGGGATCCAAGTTCGATTCCTCGATCGGTCGGACCATTGTTGTTTTTTGTCTTTTTCTTTTTCTCTCTGTAAGAAAACCAATAGAAGGCATGCTTTCCTAGGCAAAAAGGGGGTATCATTACTAAATCAAAACGCTATGAGTGAGTCGAATCCATCTCTTCTTCTTTTTTACTTTTTGTCCTCCGGGGCAAATTCTCACGAAGCCGGGCCAGGCGTCGTAGCCGGCGTCGCAATCTTGCTCTTCTTTCTCTTCGGCTTCGGTCCGTTGGGCGTCTTGGGACTCTTGCCCTCCTTACCCTCCTTCTTGGCCTCCTCCGCCAACTTAGTATTAATCACCGGCTTGGGCTGTGCCGACGATGGCGGAGGCGGCGGCGCAATCTTGTCCTTGCGCCCCGTGCTTGCAAAGTGGAAGTCGCCGGGCCTGCCCGTGATCGGGTTCTCGTCAAAGTAGTCGCCGCCGTGGCGCATATGGATCGCAAAGGACTCCTCCGCCAGCCTGTCCAACGCGTTGGCCGTCGAGTCCTTTTTGCTGTTGCGGCCTGTTTTGCCGCCCGCCGAGGTCTTGCTGCCGTTCGTTGCGCCTTCGGCGGCGGGTGTGTCTGCTGCTGCCGCTGCCGCTCCATCTTTCGCGCGGGCGAGGGCTGAGGGGGGCGTCGGTTGGGTGTAGACGTGGCCTAGGGAGGGCGTCCACTTGCGTACGCTGTCGGCCGCGGGAAGAACCTTTCTCATTGATTCGGCAATTGATTCCTAGCATGGTGTCAGACTCCATCATCCTTCAAGAAGAATGCTATCTCTCGTGGGAGAGAGGGAGGGAAGTGGGGACTTACAATCCTCGAACTGAGAAGATCGCCCAGCGTCGGCGCCTGATAGATATTCTCGCCGACGACAAAGTAATACGCCAATGGCTTCGTCTCCATGCGCCCGCGGTCGAGGTTCTTCTGCCTCGTCTGCTTCACAATCGTCCACACGCCCGTGCCCATGACCATGTCGGCGGGCGCGTGCAGGACCCTGAACTCGAGGCCGGCCATCTTGTCGAGCTCGCTCTCGAACGCCTCGCGCGTGGCGAGGTTCTTGAGTAAGGCCGGGTTGAACATGGCCTGGTTCGTGATGACGGCGTTGTTGGACTGGCGGTCGAAAAAGGGCGACTCGGCAAAGTAGAAGAGCACGCTGTTGGAGTGGATGCCCTGCATCGAGGCCGCGATATCGGGGGCGCGCCATTGGATCTCGTCCAGGGGCGGGTCGTTTGGGTTGGCCATTGTGGAGGGGGGGATTCGGTCGTTGGAGGAAGGTATGTCGAATGAGTTGTTGACGAGTCGTTTTGTGCTGGGTATGCGTGGGTGACGTTCGGAGGGCGGATTGCGGAGCTTTTTGAGCCGGAGTGGAAGCTCTCCAACTTTTGTATCGTGGGGCCGGAGCTTGTTCGACTGCAGGGGCTGAATCGACAGGGGTTTTTTGCCCGGGGGGTGGGGGGGAGCGTGTCATCACGTGATAGTCCTGCCTGCCGACCATCTTCAAGCTTCAAGACCTTCAATTTGAATGGAGCCTCTTCAACGACGACCATTGTCAAACCTAACACCATCAAATACCATTAATATTCAACGGAAATCCCTCACCAAACATTTCATCACGAGAAAATCAAAGCACCGCTACCCAAATCAAGAACTCAAAGCAAATCGAAACCGCCCCCGAAAATGGACCTCCTCTCGAGCGTCCGCAAATCCGGCTCCCGCGGCGGCGTCAACTTCAGCTGGGACGAAGTCGCCAACTCCTCCCACCGCGAAAACTACCTCGGCCACAGCCTCAAAGCCCCCGTCGGCCGCTGGCAAAAGGGCCGCGACCTCAACTGGTACGCCAAGGGCGACGGCGACGACGCAGGAGCGGTCGAAGGCGAGACGGAACAAGAGAGGCAGGAGCGCGCGCGCAAGGAGGAGCTGCGCAAGATCAAAGAGGCCGAGGAGGATGCGCTCGCGCGCGCGCTGGGATTACCTGTGCCGCAGCGGGATTCGTCCGGCGCGAATGCCGTTGAGGTGAGCGGGGCAAGGGGGATCGGTGGTGCTGGTGCTGGTGCTGGTGATGCGAAGCCTGTAGAGGAGGAAGGGGCCAAGGGCGGGCTCGTTGTCAGTGAGAAGAGAGAGCGCAGGGATCGGGATGAGGATAGGCAGAGAAGGCGGAGGCGGAGTCGGAGTCGTAGCCCCCGGCGAGAGAGGAGGAGGGATGGCGAGAGGAGGCGGAGTCGGGAAAGGGACATGGATCGCGGGGAGGAGAGGCACCGCCATCGCCGTGGTGAAGGACGGGAACACGGTGGTCGAGAACGCAGGGATCGCGACCGTGATGAGGGACGGGAGAGGCGGCATCATCGTAAGGCGAGAAGCCGGAGCCGTGAGGGTGGTGAGCGAGAGCGCGGGCCGAGAGAGCATCGACGGCGGAGCAGGAGCAGAGAGGGTCAGCGGCCGCGGTCGAGCGACCGCCGACGAAGTCCGGATGAGCGCCGTCGATAAAGGTCGGTAGACTGGTGAGCGTGGTGAGACCGAAGAGACAGAACAATGATACCCACGTCGATTCTGTTGCGCAAAGAAGCACATTATACAGTTTACAAGAACATACACTCTCAAAATAGCGTTAAACGAGAACCAGCAAGCAACTTGTGCCTGGTCATTTGGATAACATACACAATGTCACCATATGCCAATCCATAGCCCGTTATGGCTTGGTAGAGACCCTTTAACTAGTGACTTTGCGAAGATAGAATCCCAGTATCGGCCTCATCTTCAAACTGGTCTGCACCCAGCCACTGGGGCTCACATAAACGCCGACATCTACCTCAGTGCTCCTGCTTTTCATAAACCTGAACGCCGGTCCCAAATTACTACAGTACCCTCCTTGACAGTTCGAAAACGCAAAACAGCTCATGCGCTGAACGATGTCACGTAGTACTGTGAGTAGTCAGCCAGTGTTCTCCCCTAAGCGCATGCAAGGGATCTCTTACGGTCAGTACGGCGTCATCTGCCGTGGCATCGTCATACTGCGGCACGTAAACATACAGAATCAAAGCATGGTCGTCTGCGAATGCAGCAACGACTCTCCCCTCGAGCCGCCCTACACTCAACACCCGGCTCCAGTCCTTGCCATCTACCCGCACCGTTGCCCACTTCTCCGGGCCACCCTCCTTAAACTTGACGCTTGGGTGCTCTTCAACGGGCATCTCCAGCTGCGTGGGGTCCAACTCCGGATTGACGAGTCCCGACCATGTACTCGAGACGTCGACGGCCTCGGTGGCGATCCGCAGCTTCAGGTTGCCAAACATGTTGGCGCTAAGCTCCAGCTTAGGGCTCACGCGGGAGTTTGTGCCGGACGAGAGCGCGAGCTTGGTGAAGCGGTCCGAGATGGCCTTGAGCTGGAGCAGAGGCGGCATGGTGATGTGCACGTCTGTCTCGCGCACCGTGGGCTGCATGATTGTCTCTACCGTCTCTGGATGCAGCACCCGGACGGGAATGTCCTGGGTGATGATCTTCTCGCGCTCGCGGCGCAGAGACGTCTCTAGATGCTCAGCGGCGAACCCCTGGTCGTCCTCGTCAAAAGGATCATTTTCAAGACCGGCGTAGGCGGCGTTGCGGCCTGGGAGACCTGACCCCGAGGAGGCGTTCGTCGTGGTCGTGATGGTCATGGACAGTACGGGGACTCCATCCTTCTTGGTGAGACGCAACGAGGCAGAGGTGCTGTTGAGCGCAGAACGTAGGGCACGTTGGAGAGGTTGCAGTGGTAGCTCAAGGTTGATGGTGTTGTGGTCTTCGGCCGATTGGATGTGGTAGCTGTCAAAGATGAAGTCCATGGGTAGAGAACTGGAGCCATGATTCAGCAACCATAGCTTCTCAAGACGCTACCAGAGTCAGAGTGCAGCAATCTTACGACCAGACTTGAGAACCCGTGTCGGGAATGACGGTGAATCGTGCCGTTTCGTCGTCTAGGCGAACCCATGCGATCTTCTCGAGCGAGTTGAGGGCAGCTGTGAGCTCTGTAAAGCAAAGGAAACGGCCAGAGAGTCAACAAGGGAACCCGAGGTTGCAGCAAAGCCGGCCGGCCGGCAAGCAGGTAGGCAGGCTTGGGGTGTTGTGGGTTCAAACGCACTGGAAAAGGTACGGATGTTCTTGAGCTCCGTTTTGAATCGCATTTTCGAAATCTCGATCTCTCAGCGAGGTGGCCGTCCGTCCGTCCGTAAATAAAAACCTTATAGATAAAGGGAGTCACACAAACAGAAAGAAACACCCGGCTGCAGTTGACTGGGGAAAGGATATTGGGTACGGGCGGAGAGGTATGGGGGGGGAAGCTGATTACCTCTTTTGGTGTAGACGCGTAAAGTGGAAAGAGAAACGACGCGATCTTGCCTTTCAGAGGTGCGTTGCAGTCAGTGTGCGGTACGCCGCCGCCGTGCGTGGTGCTGCCACTGGCAGGGAGAAGGCACCGAGCAAAGGTGGTACATGCCTGCCAATGCCTGCCGCCACGCTGCACTGCAGGCGCTGCCAGCAAGATGGTCTGCAGAAAACGGCACGGGAGTCTTTAGCGCGGGGCATCCACCCCTGCCTAGCGTGTCCACATTGGGAGACCTCACCCCATTCACAGTTCGCGCCTACCCCGCCATCACCTGAGGTCCCCGGGGATGCGCAGAAGAAGGGAGAGAGGGTGAGACCGCTTTGGAGGGCCGGCCAGTTGGATAATGTCCCGACAGGCTTCACTTTCCCCCCTTTCGCTTCTTGATTCAAGATCTCTGGGAATATGGTGGATGCTATGGACGTCAGAGGGTGTATTGAGTCTCCCAGAGTGACGTCGACAGGTGTGGAGTGAAGCCTAGGTGGTTGGTGATTTTGCATCACCGTGAAGCAGTCCATGTCGGTCGAGAAAGGCTGGCTTCTAGATAGCCTTGAGGTTTCATTTCTAATACCCTATGAGAAAATAATTGTGTTCAAGATTGTTGTGAAAAGCTCGAAATTCGTTACAGGTATTTGGACAAATGAGATCCGTCACCTATACCATCTGCTGTCTTATAACAAGACTGATGAGGCTTCGCCCAAGTCATGATGCTCCCATCAAACTGTTGTGTAGAGACCTGGCTTGGTTATCATAATGCCAGTCCTACCAGCCGCTCTGGTGCCATAGTCTACCGGCCTTTAGAAGCCACCGCCGTGCATTCCAATCCCTTGTGCATTCATCGTTGTGTACGCCGGCGGTGTCAAGCCGAACTTCCCAGCACTAGAGAAGTCGCCATGTCTCTGCTTAGGTAGGCCCCGCGACGTTGGTATCTCCGGTCTCACCAAGAGACGGAAACCACACCCACTGGTGTTATTTCTTTGGCGATTTCGATCCAGAAGTTTTCCGATCTTCTTGGATAAAATGTTCGGTCCACTTCCTCCTCCATACTTCACGATCCTCCCAAGGCTCTTTTGTTGGTGTTTCTTCCTGTTCCTTGGGCACCTCTTGAGGAATGGACGCCATGTTGTGATCGAGCGAGTGGATGAGGGAGTTGAGCCGCGGTAGAAGCTGACCGCGAAAATATTTAGATGTTTTGCGAGTACGTTGTAGTTGCGTGTGACATATTTCGCACGGCATCCAGCCCCAGTACATGTAATTGCGCGTCGCCTTTGTCGTCGGCACCACGGGATGTCCACAGTCGCACCGCATGCTCACCCTACACCAAGGGCAGTGCGGCTCATCGACGCTGGCGACGCCGAGCCAGTGTTGTATGCAGTCGCCGCCGAAGCGGTGGCCGCAGGGGAGATATCGCCAGACCTCCTTGTCGCCCTCCTCCTTAGCCTCGCCTACTTTTTCGTAACATATTGCGCAGCAGGTGTCGTCGGCAGCGGGATTCGAAGCCATCTCCTGCTTCCGCATAACAGATTTGAAAATGTTCATCGTCTCCAGCGGGAAAGGGACATGAGATTCGCTATAAGACCCAGCGTCGGAAACAAGAAAACTTGCTAGAGGAAAACGAGTCCCGGACTAACCGAAGCCTTTGTTGCTAGACCAAACGGCGGTCGAACAGTGATGAACAAAGACGATGAGGAACATAACAAAGAAGGGAAAAGGAATACAAACACCCGGACAGGAAGAGCCACTGACTTTAGGAAAGCTAATCGTGCCTTGCAGATGGATGGCTCGACATTGACCTCCGCCGTTGGACCGTTCCGGATCCTCTGCCGGGTCAGCCATGTCTTTCTCAGGAAAAAAGGCATGGTGCACGGAGCCATACCTTGAGTACAAGGTGTGCCGCCGACTCGCTGGGCTATGCTTGACATGTGCGCTGGCGGCATTTAGTCTTGGTCTGACCTTTCTGGGAAACATGGAGCATTGGCTGGAGAGCGTGTGACGCTTGACGCTTGTCAGAAGGAATGCGTGCCCCTCTTCCCAGTCCTCCAGGAGGAGGAACCATTTCGGTGCTGCTGACCTCCACCAACTTCATCCCACTCCTTACCACATTAAACAAGAGTAAGATGCCATGCTGAGGAGGGGCAGAAGAAGAAAAAGAAAAAAGGATAGAAGAGCCGCCGTCTCCGATAGCGAAAGAGAGAAACATGACAGGCCAAGCTAGGTAAGGTGCAGAAACCTGCAGGATGGAAACACCGGGCGCCTGAGCGGTGCTTGTTTCGGACATGTGGTTGCGCCTGACCCCAACTCAGACCAAACAGAGCAGAGATGGAGCGAGACAGTCAACCAAAGTGAGGCAGGTTGGCAGGCGGCATAAGGTTCAGCTGATGTTGATTTCAGCATTGAAATGAATGCAGTTTTAGCCACCCCTTATCGCCACTTGATTCCCACGTTTGCCGAATGCCTGCCTTAGTAATGCGGAACCAGAACTTGAACTTGGATGGGTGCGAAGTACGAGATCCGGGTCGCTTGACATGGCAGACTTTCCTGGAACAAGCGATTGCCGAGAGAGACATCGCGGGCTTAGCCTCTTGGTGACAGGCTGACTAGATCGGCCAACTCGGCCGAAGGCTTACCAGTTCGCGTGCCCATGTTCATCCACCACCTACATTGCATGCAGGCGGAAGAAAATGGGGTTTTATGCGGCAGCAAGGCATACGTATGATGGAAAGGCAAGGCGAATATTCAGCTGAGTGTCCTCGTGGCCGATAACGAGGCTAGGCATCCGGTACATGGAAGCGAGGCTGAAGTGCGTATTAGATTGATGACTACCGCCTATTACCAGCTCCATCATCTTCATCGTCACTGTCATCTCTAAAGCCCTCTTCCAGGCTGGCACAGAGACACATGTGTTAGTTACGAGGCCAGGCGACAGAAAGAATAGAATACGAAGGCGGGGAGCATTGCTCGACTTACTCTCGGCTCAAGCGCCTCGTGCTGTCATGCCTGTCTCGCCGAGTATCTTCTGTCAGAGCTCTCCGGGTATCTTCACCAACCTCCCCAAGCTCCTCGCCATCTTCTGACGAATAACCGTCTTCGGAAGCGTCGGTCGCGATGACGAGTCGTTCATGAGCATTCCGCC